AAGACCCGCCCCGCGAGCGCCAACAGGTCCGCCAGCCCGGCGCCCTTCGCGGCCGCCGCGCCGAGGATTTTGTAGAGCAGACACGTCCCCGCGAGGCCCCGGCGCCGCCCGGGGTCGGCGGCGCCGAAGGCGACGTCGTCCGCGACGAGGACGGACGCCACGCGGACCCCCGCCGCCCTCGCCTGCTCGACGGCAAACCCGAAGTTCAGGACGTCGCCGGTGTAGTTCTTGAGGATCACCAGCACCCCCGGGGGGTCGCCGCCGGCCTCTTTTTGGACCCCCGCGAGGTAATCGATCGCGGCCCGCACGTGCGCGGCCGGGGGGGACGCGAAGACGCCCCCGCACACCGCCGCGCTCAGCCACCCGCGCGCGACGAAGCCGACGTGCGCGGGCTCGTGGCCGGCCCCGCCGCCGCCCACCAGCGCCACCTGCGCCGGGCTCACGTCTTTGAGAACAACAACATCGGAGCCCGCCAGGCGCTGGATCGCGGGGTCGGCCAGGCAGGCCCCGTCGATCGCGGCCCGCACGACGTCCGCCGGGTCGTCGATGAACTTCGGCACGACGGCCATGGGGGATTGGTGATTTGGTGCGTGTAGAAAAACCCTTTCAAAAAGACGGCGGGAGGGAGAAAATAGGGGGAGGGGAAGAGGAGGGGAAATTGCGGCGTCGGGGATTACGCGCCTCGCCCGCTACAGGGGAGGGGATGGCCTGAACGCCATACCACAACCAATGGTACCCCAAGCGGGTTCATAGAGAGAAAACAGACAGTGTTTTTTTAGACGTGTAAAGCGTTTTCGCATCACCCGATGGAGGTTGGATCGGCGGACGCGTAGGTTCCGCCGACATTTCCATCTTTTTTTGTGTGTGTGGGGGGGGGGTTGAAAGAGCGGCAAATCGAAGCGTTTGCATTAAAATGAGGGGTGTTTTAAAATTCAAACGCGATTATCGCGTAAGGGGGTTATTACCATCAACTACCGCACATCGTTCTCCTATTTCACCTTGTGGTGGGTTGATTTTAGCATTCTAAAAGTCTCACACTACCCATGAAATTAAAAACACGAGTCGGAAAATATGAAGGGAACACAATCCGCCAGGAAACTAGCGTCAGGACGACAGAAAGCATTCTGAGATACCCGGGAAAGGATCTCCGTGATGGAGACAGAGCACGCAGATCGGTTTTACGCATCCCATGAGATTCTGGCAGGGAAATAGTGCAGCAAAAAAAAACTAGGGGGGGGGTAGTAGTAGTTGCAGGACCAAATTCACCTCGTTTTTTTAATTTAAAAGATGCCCAAGACTCTTACTTATTCGCTTCTTTACCTGTTTCGCCCCTCATTCATATAGGAGAGCCCATCGTGAAAACACCTGTCACTGTTAAGAACAGAAAAAGAGAACTTTCGCCGCAAAGCTCATAGCGGTCTAATGGGAATGAAAGAGTAGGGGCAGAGACTTTAGACCAATTCCACCACACGCCTCAAAGATGCAGCCGGCGATGGGGCACTTGCTTTTTAATAGGCTCTCCCGATGCGCATCGTTCTAATGCCCGCATGGAGCCCTTTATTGCCTGTTTACCGCCCATTGAAAAGTAATCGCCTGTCGATGTCTGAACGATCCCCGGCGTCGGCACGTGGGATACCAGCTCGGGACAGCGATTTCAGGATTCATCTTCGATTCCTTCCGGCGAAATCGGATGCCCTACGGCAGCCACGCGCGCGGAAGCCTCTTTTCACCTCGTTTTCCCCTTCAAACACCCACACAAAGAGGCCGCCGTCGACCACAAAAGCGGTCATGCCCTCGGCCCCTTCGTACGGCCGTATTGACGGCCGTGCACGGACAAGGCCCCTGCACGCGGGGACCTCCTCCTGCTTCTAACATAAATAAAAAGAAAAGGGTAAAAAGATCAACAACGTGGTGAGAGAAAAGAACATCACTGGTATGTACCTTCTCTTGTCGAGAAATTTAGCTCAAAATAAATGTGCCTCATTCATCATAAAAGAAAACAGTTACTGATATAAGGTAGAAGATGAATTAAAAGGTAATTTAAATCTATTTTTTTTGTCCCATAAACCATAGCATTGTCGCATATATGCATAATCTGATAGAGTTAATTATCTCAAAATAGTTATTTCATATCAGAAAAAAAAATGAAAATAATTATCTTGAGTTGATATCAGAAATTTATTTTTGACATTAAATATTTGCTTAGCCCTTTTTTTCCCATGATAATCGCTTGTTGACACGTAAAGACATGTAAATTTATATATACTTCCGCCAGTCTTTATATTTCAAAAATCCAGAAAGAAATTAATTAACCCAAATAAAATAAACAAAAGAACAATTTTTGCATTAGCTACAAAAAAGCCATAAAACAAACAAACAAATAAAATACTTACTAAAGCCTTTGACAACTAAAAATAAACACACTAGTGCATTTTCACTTTCGTTATAGTTAAAGGCAATAAAAATCTATTCTAAAATTAAAGTACGGAATGGAAAAATTGATCCATATTAATAAGAAGGAAAAAGACATCGAAAGGTGCCAATATCAATGAAGGGGCGCATGTGAAAGTAAAAAAGGTTCCGCCACACTTTCCTATCCGTTCAAAGGAAAATAGTTAGCATCAAATTAACATAGTCCACACAATATCTCAGATTGGTCGAAAAATGTCAATAATGCAGAATTTTTTATATTTTTTGTTTCGAGAAATTTGAATTATTGATAAAAAAAGACATCATTAATAGAACTAAAGGTTGGGGTTGGAAAAAAAAAAAAATAAACCAATTCTTCATGGGAATATTCCCTGCAAACTACTTTCAATCACACCAAAATGTAAAGGTGAATTGTTTATTATATTTAATAATTTAAATTATAAAATAAACGGAAAAACACGTGGTATGCGTCACTGGATGACCAACATACACACACACACACACACACACACACACAGGTACGCATATACATTGAAATAGGAAAATACATCTTGCGCAGTAAATATTTCAATGTCTTTACTAGTGAATTTTTCGAAAGAAACCTAAGCACTTCGGCGTTGTGTTTCGATTTTGGAATTTACTTCTTGCCCTTGGTATTGCTGTTAGTTGTATCGTTTAAGTTGAGGTGTGGTCGTGAATGCCAGGCTGCTATTCCGTATTATTACGAATCCTTAGTTGTCTGTTTGTCTTTATCTTCCATCAACGGCTCTCTCCGCATAATAACCTCCGAGTTCACTTTATCCTTGACAACATGTCCATTAATATCAAGGTTATCACAAATGCGAGCAGAGGGAATGAGCAGGAAGATGAAAGGAATGGTGATCGATGGCGCGATACCGTGGCAAATTAGAATTAAAAGTGGCATATTACTGTAATCGCAAGGAACCTTTGTCTTTATAGGCAAAAAGAATTCCATTATGATCGCACCAAGGGTGGTGCTGCCGCTTCTTCCGAGGCTGGTGAAGCCCGACAACAAGGCATACACCAGGCATTCCGACCCACATGGACACAGCCGGGACAAGAGCACGAACATCGGCATACCCTGCAGTTTGATCAAAATTTGCACCACCACACTGTGGCTGAAAAGGTATAGAAAATGGTCAGGAATGCCAATTTTGATGTTCCACCGTTTCACAATCGTAATGTCAATAAGCGAGGCAAACATTATCCCAATCGTGGGCAAAATAAAGGCAAGACGATAATTCACTTTAGGGAAGAAATGGGAGAAGCACAGAACGCCAAGGAGGGCCCCAACATTGGAGAAGACTGCTAAAAAGCCGTTGTAGAAGGTATAGGAGAAATGTGGTCCGTTGGGTAAGCACTTGGCATCGGTCATGTAAAACGTATTGATCGCCCCCGGCAACAGAATAAAACTGATCGATTGCAGATATCCAAACACGTTAACTTTGGCAATGGCGAGCGGGAGTGCCCAGAAGGATGCCCCACAACACACAATCGACACGCTGCTGCAAGCGATAAGCAACCCAATCTTTCCGGAGAAGATATTACAAATGATCATCACCACCACCGCGATCGTCAAGATTACAGCGTACGTCAATGCCCTCCAGTTGAACACGATGATATCCTTATTCATTTCAAAAAGGCCGAAGCAACAGGGGATAGGATCCGATAAAAGATTTCGCTTTAGTTCTTCCCCTTTATCATCCATGAGGGGCTTCTGTAATGCCCCATCAGTATCATTATCGCTTATCTGAAATTCGCGATGATTTGTGGTGGCAATCTCATTCATATTTCTCTCGGTGAGTTGCTTCAGACATCTGTACTTTACGTCATCGGCGCGCTCTTCTCGGTTTGGCTTCTCACCGTACCAGTTATAAATGAAAACAACAATTGTCAGAAGCTGCAGAACCATGGAGATGTAAACGCCGACTTGGGGAATATGATTATCCCCCAGAGGCCCCAGTACCATGGAGGAGATGATGTTGCCGACCAAGACAAACCACCAAACCCAGCTCACCAGCGCCGGGCCCTGATCGGGTTGTTTGATTATAAGACGGCTGTAGAAGCCCTCGGAGAGGATGTCCACGTTGGCCTTGAAGTAGGAGGTCAGGAAGATGAGGGCGCCGGCGGTGTTCGCCGAGGACTCCTTCGCGGGCAGGATGGCGATCCCGAAGGAACACATCGCCCCCGCGACGCAGGACATGACGATGTACCATCGCTTGGTGTAGCCCAGGAAGGCGAAGCTATCGCAGACCATGGCGGTGAGCGGCTTGGCGGACCAGCCCAGGGTGTAGAGCGAGGACAGCCGTTGGTACTGCTTCCCCCCCGCCCCGTAGCGGTTGACGAGCAGGGCGTAGGTGAGGCCTTGGATCAGCTCGTCGGCGATGCCGCGGGTGAAAAGGTGGACCACGGCCAGCCCGGTCACGCACTTGAAGCCGTAGCCGTCGTAGGCGGGGCCGAGGATGGGGATCCGCCAGACCCACGGGTGGCGGCTGAAGAACCGCCGGACGCTGGGGTGGACGAAGCGCTGGTGGACCTCCTCGGAGGCCTGCAGGACGGGGGCCCCTGGGACGCCCGGGTCGTCCTCCGGGGGGGGGGGCTCGGGAAGGCCGTCACGTGAGACATCGCACACAACTCAGACGCCGTCAGGAGGGAGGGGAGGGTGAGGAAATAGGGGGCTCGTAGTTCGCAAAAGACAAGGTGGATTTACTGTAAGGAATGGAAAGGGAAAAGGAAAGGGGAAAAAAGGGGGAGAGGTGGTTAAAGGCATGCGCGCACTACGCGCAGGGGATACGCGCGGCCAACAAATAGAAGTGGGAGACGTTTTCAGTATAATGGAGTCAGTAAAAATGAAAATGGTCATCGATGACAAAATTATCGAACAGCGGGTGGTCGTTTGGCGGGGAAGGGGGACACGCACATCGGCTCGCCGTCACGCCAACATCAGCGGCGCCATGGCCGGCTCAGGCCCCCCATTTTGCAGGGAAGCCCCGCGCGGTTGAACTGCCTTTTCATTCTAAGGGCGCCTCCTCGGTGAAAGGACAAAAAATTCGGCGACTTGCCGCTACGTGCGCGTTCCTTGATGGTTGCTCCAATAAGGTATGGCTGTGGATTTTAGGAGCCTTTTCGTCCATCACATGTTTGATACTTAATCAACGCATAACTAATTCGCATTCCTGCCTAGAGAAATTCATAATATGTAATGATTCACCTATGCGATGCGAAACTAGTTAAATAACCTAATCTGCTTCAGAGTATGGCATTTCATTATGCTTACGAGTAAGCTCATTTAAAATAATTCCCTAAGCTCTTAATGGACTAGTTATGTAAAAATTAGATCGGCTGCATCAGGAGCTGGTCAATATTTAGATACGGTGGTTAATGGTCTCGCAAATGGCTCGAATCGCGGCTTCCCCCCCATCATTCCGAGATTGGGCGGTCATTGCGATGGTTCAGAGGTCGCAGGTTTCGTAGGGATTTAACGTGTGATTTGAAAATGCATTAACGAACGTGAAAAATCCACCCTGAACAAAAAAAAAGCGTATAACTACTCCTTTGTGTTCAGGGCAATTATTGAGTTCTTGATCGTTTTGAATGTGTCGACAACGAAGTCAGATAAGGAATATAAGGACTCGCTCGTTCCAGCCGAAATTACCCCTTAGAATACTCTGAGCAGGAGATCTCGCCATCAGCAGACGTCCTCTAAAGTGTGTTAAAAGCGGATAAAAAAGAGGTTGAGAAACGACGTGGACATTGCGTCGCCCCCATTGAGGCTAAGCAGTACTCAATCCTTGAGGTAGCTTGTTGCGAAGATGACCTCAGGAAACAGGATGCGTGCTCTTTAATAGACGTGTCGTGTCCTCGTAGGCAGATCCCAAACGTTGGGTATTCCTGCAGGATACATCAAAGATAGTTTCGAGGCAGTACGATTGCCCATCCCACTTATACAAGAGGACGTGCTCATCTTGTAGAGCCCTCGCTAGCCGCTGGCGCTCTGCACGGTTGAATGCCTTAATTTTGTCCATGATATTATTGCAGCCGGCCCTTGAATTGAAGCTTAGGGCCACTTCGCGCGCCAAATGAGGGTCTGACCACACCAAGCGAGTGGATTCTTGCACCATATAACCATCTTCTAGTGTGGTAGGTGTTGTAATAGTACGTTTGAGGGATCATCGATGCCCACAATGGTGAACTGTGAAATGCCGCGGCTGCCTTTCGGCAAGGCTGTTGTGGTATCGGGTTTACCCAATTTACTGCCATGGGCCCTGTTACCGCTAGAAGAATAACTTATAATATTCATGGCATCTGCGGGTAGCAATTAGATACTGACCGAAACTACACCGATTGCTACCTTGATTCACCCACTATTTTTTTCGAAGCCAATGAAAAGTTTGACCTTAGTGAGCGATTTTCATTCTGTGGCACCATTAATGTCCTCTAAATTTTAAGCTGGAAAATCTTCAATTAGAATGATCGTTTTTATAATTTATAATGGGATTAATATGCATTACAATTAGTGGTAGTGCACAAAAGAGCATATAATCTCGTAGATTCAGATATCACTATGTTACATATAAACAAAAAAGGCCACTAATCGATAGAAAATGAGACTTCCCATTATGGAAGTGCTATCTTTTTCACTGAATAAATAGTAACAAAAAAAAAAAGGAACTAAAAGTGTATAGGTTCCTCTACAAGTAAATACGTAGTGGATTAGATACACAAGTGTACTCTTTAGGTCTAGAACGTCAGGCTCCAAGTGGGGATACCATATATAAATTGAAATTCCCCAAGCCTATATTAACTTAAGAATGAGGCTTTCTACCTCCGTGTTTGCGTCGTTTTGGAGTGAGGTGTTCCCTCTTTGCTAAGTTCCAAACGCGATGCCCTTGCGTCGTAAGGTCCTCCAACTCGGCGGAAAGTGAATCCACATAACCTAAACGCTCCTCATTTCGTGAAGTCTGCTCGCTCAGCATATTTGAGTACCGTGAAATACCTAAAGAAAGCTCTAATGACTCTAAAGAAATATCCTTCACATGTGAAGGTGAATAAGTAAAGGGGCTATGGCAATAAGAATTCGTCATAGACCCTTGGTTCGGAGTAACTTCGGCATCCCCTGAGTTCGACCTGCTGGATGTGGGTAAATTTTCTTCCTTTTCACTAATGGTGTTGTGAGGAATTGGATGACTTGGTGAAGGGTTTTCTTCATTACCTGTGGAATAGTCCGATGTAGTCTTTCCTATAGCGGTCTCTTGTGATGGTGGGAGCACTGCCCCTTGTGATCCCACGTCGCTGCTCCGCTGTTCGGCATCACATTTCTCTACACCAGTTTGTGCATATGCCTCCTCTGAGCGGGTATGCCCATCCTCACCTGTGCACACTTGGGATAAACATTGAGTTTGGGCTTCCAAACAAGCCAACTTCTCGTGCAGCTGAATATTCTCGGTCTCTAAGGCTTCCATATCCGATAATGCTATTGCTTTGGTCTGCTCAATAAATAAGTCACATTTTTCCCAGCACCCTTGCATCAGAAAAGTGATACCATCTGTGAATACTCTGTACTTTTTCTTAAGGCACTCTTCATGGAGCTCAGCACACGCCGCCCAGTGTTTTGGAATCATGTCTAGCAGCAATCTAATCGGTGTGTTTGAATCCGTCGAACGCAACATCCTCAAAGGACTACCTCGACTCTGAGATCCCTCTTCACACACACTCAAAAAAGACTCAGTTAAACCATCAACCTTTTCAGAACAGGCCTCAGCGTACCCGTGTGATAGGATAAAGCAATGCGAACAAACTTGTAAGCCATACGCCGTAAGCTTTCTGAAAAGGTAAACCTCCCCTTTGAGATCGTCGCGGTGAGAGTGGTGATACATTTTTAACGCCTCGATAGAGATTTGATATTGTGAAGCCAACCTAACCATGCCGCGTTGGACTTCGCTAAGGAGGTCAGTGGAGCCCTCCATGATTTGAATATCCCGGCTCTCAAAATAGCCCTTTTCGAGCTCTAGCTGTTGGATTCGCTCTTGCAGGGAGATCAGCTGAATTTGGAAGCGCATCTCGAGCGACGCTTTAAGAGTAGTCAATGCATTTTGGGTTTCTTCTGCACCAGCATGTTGTATTCGCTGAATCTCGCCATGCATAAATTCAGTTTTATCCCTCAATTTATCTATAGTTGTATGGAAAATTCGTCGCACCAGCGCTCCCACCTCAATGATCTGAGTCAACATTGTATCGAGCTGTCGCTTTAGAACTGTACTTTCAATGTGGGAAGTCCCTTTGTTCATGGGTATTCCCTTTTGAAAAGCAGCAGTCTCTGTTCTAAAGTGGAGTCGAATCGGGGTGTTCCCAACATCTTGTTCACACAGCAGCAGATCTCCCATCCTTTCCTGTAGTCGACCCTGATTTGCGTTTGGTCCAGAAACTGAAGCCTCAAGAACCATCCTCTCATTACACTGAGTTTCAGCTTGTGCTTCATACAATGTCTTGTTAGTATCAAACTCCATTACATCAGAAAGTTTAGACTTGGCCTGTCCAACAAGCCCCTTGGTTTGGTGGATGCGATCCATAGATGCGACCTTTTCAGTAGAAACCTTGTTTCCACAAAAATAACTATCCTTGATATCGGGGCTTCCCTTCTGAGAGACATTCTCCTTTGGTAAAGGGGCCTGAGTATCAGCATACAGACACTGCTGAGGATTGTCAGTCTGTTTTACAGCTACGCAAGGATCAGTTGGACGTGAAAGTGGTAAAGAGGAATTGACGTCATCCAGCCCTTCGACTCGGGAAAGGAGCGACATTAAGGTGTTTACAGCGTCCTGCAGGACAGCAATTGGTTCCTGAAAGCTATCTTCACCCATACTGAGCGATTCGCACTGTGTTTGAAAGCCAGCCTCACACTTTTCATCAATGTCCTTAGAGCACTCGTAACATTCTCTCATGTCAAAGCGTTCTGCATGAATCGGAGATGGCAAATGGGGCATCAACTCTTTTTGGTTATTCCCAATGGGCGTATCGCCCAATGATATAGCGGTTTGTCTTTCCATAGAATTCACCACATTTTGCGAAGGCACAACGTAAATTTCTTCTGTATCTTTATTACTCTCAGGTATGTCTTGTACTCTGACCGTGCAAGGAGGTTCCATCAACTCAGCGGGAGCAAAGGCCCACTTCTGAACTTTATCAGGAGATTTAACAAATGAATTGGTGGTCTTTCTAACGTCATTCGATAAGATAATCAAAGGAGGAACACCACGCTGATTACCATCTACTGCGCCTATTTGAGTTGCTTGCAAGACGTTCCCAAAATTTCCAGGTGTTGAATCTATTGTGTGTACCCCCATGCCCCCCTCTGCCTCCGAAAACTCCTGCACCTTCTCAATACACGAGGACCGTTGTGGGGCCGACGTATCGATAGTCTTCTCATCAGCCTCGATAGGGGCATTACTGAGCATTGTAGAAGACACCATCCCGGCCTTCGGACGAAGTGCGCCCCAATGGGTGCCGCTGGCTGTCAAAAAAGTAGTGATTACTTCTTCTAGATGAATCTCCACAAGGCGGTGCCCATGAGAAAAAAAACTATCCCAGCTAGACTGCACAGAAACATAGTCCTCATAGGTTTTGTTAATCTCTATTAGTTCATTTTTCAGTTTGCCAGAATGCGCCTCCTCCGAGGTTAACTGTATTTCTAGCTGATGTCGTTGAGACTCCAGGTTCTGGAGCCTCGCTTCCGTTTCTTCATTGCATAAATTCAGACTATCAACGCGCACTGAGAGTTCGCTATACAACTTTCTACCCTGCGAGCTGGATACCACTAATAAGTTTGCCATCGAATCAAATAAAAGCGCTTCCCGTTTTTGGTAGAAAAACTGCGCGTTGTGAAGGAGTGAGTCTTGCCAATGGGATGCAGCCCAAAGAAGCTCCTGGTATTGTCGTTGAAGACGTTGGTTGAGCGATCCGCAGGCCCAAGCCTTCCATCGCGCGAACTTATCCGCAGCGCAATACTTCACCAACAACCCGCTTGCCCTCCCCAACCGTTTTTTACATGTCTCGTGTTCCTTCTTGAGGATAGTATGGGTCTGTTTGATTTTTAGATGTTCGGCATTCACAAGGGCAAGCTCTTTATTGTGCATGTTGTTGAGAAATACCATCTTTTCTTGCATAAATCTGCCACGCTCCAGAGTTTGTAGATGTTCGGTGTGTAGCTGCATCATTTCAGCCCTGCTTTCATCCTGAAGTTGTTGTAGTTGAGAGATCATCAGGTGGGACGAAGCGTCCAAATCGTCCTGCCGGGCCAGGCGATGAACACCCTCGCCGTGCTCGGAGCTGCGGCGGAAAGCGTAGCCCCTCCAAAGCCCCAAAGCCTGAGAAGCAAGTCGCTGAACCCCCCTATTTTGAAGTAGTTGAGAAAGCATGACGTAATGCGCCCGATCCTGCCCCACGCGCGCGGCGGTTTCCGCCACATAACGCCGCTGCCATTCCTCGTAAGCGGCAGTTATTTGCAGAAGTTGCCGACTTTGCCAATCCATTTCCCGCCCCCAAGTCCGTGCGTTCTTCTGCCAGAGCCTCCCGCGCGAGAGGGATTCCTGCTTTTCGATCGAAAGCCGCCCCTCGGCCTCGTCGAGCGCCAGGGCCTTCGCGTGGGCCGTGGCGAGCTCCCCCCGCAGCCGTCGGGTTTCGCTTTGAGAAGTTTTCAGAAGCGCGAGCGATCTCGACAGGTCCCCTTGAAGGCAAACCACCTGCTCGCTGAGTGGGGCGAGAAGCCTGACGTCGTCCAGAAGCCTAGAGGCCTCCTGGCGTGAGGTGGCGTACTGGGCGAGAAGGTCGCCCTGCATTCTCAAAAAGACACTCAGGAAGAGGTCCGCTTTTTGGGCGGCATAATCGAAAAAGGCGCCGAGCGCGACGGTCAGTAGCGCTCCGACATTTTGCATGCTCTGAAAGGACTGCGCCACGCGACGTGCCGAGGATTCGGCATCGGAGCTGGCGGCGTTTAACGCCCCCCTCAGACTATCCTCCCGGAGGCGAAAGAATTGCTCGGTTTCCTCTTGTTGGCGGACATAAGTGCACGTCCGCGCGCTGAATTCGCCCGTCATCGCCTCCAAAGTCTGTTTTAACCGGCCGATCTCATCCTCGAAAAGCGCGCGTAGCTGGGACTGGGCGTGTGCGGAGCACCGCATTTGCGCATGCGCTTTGCCTTGAAAGTCGTGGACTAGACCCTCGGCCGTCCGCTTTAGCGAATGGATCTCATCCAGGAGGACGGTTTCGTTTCGTTTGTGGAGACTTTTCGACCACCGTTGCCATGCCGTTCGCTTGAGATGCGCCTCCTGGGCTTCCAGAAGAAAGCGCCGCGCAAGATCGCCGTGCGAGCGCCGTAAGGCGTCCTGGTGGGTGTGTTCGGCGCGAACTTGGCTACGCCGCATCCATTTTTTCAGCCAAACGGACAGCACTCGCCGCCGGACGCGCTCCGCGAAATGCGCCGCAGACAAATCCGCCGCCGCGTCGGCCAAATGGTGCTGTTTGATGGCCGCCATCGTCAGAAGCCGGTGAAGATCCGCCTCCTCGGCCACCCGCAGCCTCTGCTGGCCGTCGAAGTACCGCCGCATCGTCTTTTGGATCGTGTTCAGCTCCTTATCCTTCGCAAAGACGTTTCCCAGGGTCGACGCCTTGCAATCGAGCTCGCCGAGCTTCTGGGAAAAGAGATCGAAGCCGCTCAAGAAGAGTTGGGCGGCGGCCTCATGCCTTTGTTGGACCGTGGCCTGCAAATTCACCACGCCAGGATGCAGAGGGATGGCCCCCTCCTGCCCGCCCAGCTGGGCCTGCAGGGCGTCGAGGTCCCGACCTGCGCTGACCACCAAACCCCGGGCTTGGTGGAGGATACGTTGGAGATCATCCATCGTACCGCTTGGGGGTGCATACAACAAAACGCTAGCCAGTGGAAAGGAGAAGCTGAGGAGAAAAACGCATCATAGTTTATAGTCGACACCACACTTGCAGTCTAGCCGATATCCCTTTTCCCCTGTCGGCTACCTCAAAGACGGCGTTGGATCGCAACGTGCACGGAAAGAACCTCATCCGCGCCGAGTCTCTAGAGCGCGTCAGAAAGCAAATGACATTCACCGGGCACGTTGACGAAATAGATACAGACAGATAGTTATAGTTATAGACGACCATATAAAAATAAACCGGGGGGTTGAAAGAAAAAAAAAAAGTATCGCACTAAGAGAAGAAATTCAATGTCGGCTTTACCATTGAAGCTATCAGGTCCGAAGCAAAATTCACGGTAGTCCAAAGGGGATACTTCATCACCACACACAAAACGCGGTCGCCAATGGACCTTGGCTTCCCGTTGAAGTCCCACCCATTCTACATTGATGGGGCGCCTTGATTTTGGATAGGCCAGCCTCGAATACGATGCACTACCCGACATTCTATTGGTGGCTCAAGGCCTTCTTGAGTCGATTGTTTGATTGAAAACCTGCCTTTTTGATAGTTTGCTCTAAGGTATTTAACAGGTGATCCATCCTATTTCGCTTCCCGTGGGCGTTTTATCTGGGGTTGCGCCTCTAAACCCCAATCGGCTGACTGGGCACCCCATCCGAAGATAAAGAAAAGATGATATCAAAAAATAGTAGCGCGCGGAAGACCCATAGGCAAGGATAGATACATTTAGGGTCATAAATAGTACACCACACCTTCATTCGGACGGGCAATCATTCGGAATATACCGTCGACCGCGAGAACGTCGGTGGGAGACGACCGATAAGTCGAAGATTTTGGTCCGCGCGGGCGGGTTTGCGGGCAAAAGGGCGTGGATGCCAGGCCGTGTTGAACCAAAGCCCCCCGGCGCGCGTTATCCAACGCCGCGCTTTAGCGAGCCCGACGGCGTGCGCGAGTTATTCAAAAGCGCGGTCAGGCGGGAGAGGATTTGCTGCTCCTGCGCGCGCGACGAGGCCTCGGCGAAGCCGAGGACGGCGGCGGCGCGCTCGATCTCCGTCCGCATCGCGCTTTCCTCGACGCTGAGGCCGTCGGTGGCGTCTTTGAGGGCGGCCAAAATCAGCCCGACGGCGCGCTCGAGCTGGGCCTTGTAGGCCTCGAGCTGGCGGACCTCCGCGCGCAGGCCCCCGACCGCGTCGGCCAGCGCGTCGCGCCGGCGCCGGCGGTCGTCGGGGGGATTCCAACCCGGCCCCCTCCGCCGCGGGG